TGTACTATATGCTACAATTGTAATCCTGTAAGGTTTTTTGTTTTGTTTTTTGTTTTTTGGGGTTTTTTTTTGTTTTTTTGGTTTTTTTGTAACGATAATCTCATAAAAACAAAAATGGCCCAGGACTCTTTCGCCCTTTCAAACATCCAGACTAACATAAACTGGTTTGATTTATGATAACGTTTCCTATGTCGGTAATTTTTCCATTCAGTGCCCCATTTTACTGTTTTTCTCACACACACCCTGTATTGTCTACCAAATTCCATGTGTTAAGTACTACTTCATTCATTTCATGATTTTATTATACACATGCATAATTTGTTTAGTTTATAGTAGTCGTCATGTAGTTTTTACTCATTCAGCAAACATTTATTGAGCAACCACTATGTGCCAGACATCATGTTAATTTGGGGGGATAAAGAGATGAGTAAAACAAAAGTCACAGTCCTGTGAGCGGAACCAGACACACAGATAATCAATAAAAATAAATACTGTTCGAGGCACCCAGACAGTGTTAGAAACATGTGAAGGGGAAAAAAAGGACACCCCCCCCCCCACACACACACGGAGAATGAGCCCCTAGGGAGAGATCAGAGAAAGCATCTTATTGGAATTCACCTTTAAAGAGAGGACCTAAAAGATTAGAGGTTTGCCAAAAATTACATTTCAGTTAGCTTTAGTGGTCTTGTTTATATATGCGATTGCCACTAGGCTTTTGAATTATTGTTACGGTAATTGGCAACTCCCATTTTCTTTCCCTGGGAGGCTCAGGAAGGCAGCCATGGTTTTGTTTGTTTGTTTGTTGTTTTTTATTTTGTTTTTATTTATTTTTTTGTTTTTTCTCTTTAAATGTTTATTTTTGAGAGAGACAGTATGAACGAGAGAGGAGCAGAGAAAGAGGGGGACAGAGGATCTGAAGTGGGCTCTGCGCTGACAGCAGTGAGCTCGATGTGGGGCTCAAACTCAGGAACTGTGAGATTATGACCTGTGCAGAAGTCGGAAGCTCAACCTCAACCGACCGACCGAGCCACTCAGTGCCCCGGTAGCCATTGTTTTAATGGAGGTGATAATGGCCAGTGGGAGTGGATTTTAGAAAATGGAGAGCTGGGCAAAGAGGAGGAGATGTTCTGCTTGGCCAACTGTTTTTGGTTGCTTGACAGATAGAACTCTATACAAGTACAACTTTGGGGGTATATAATGTCACCAAAGACTTTAAAGTAATACATTTCCTTTTTCCTTTTTTAAAAAACTTTATCATCAACCTATTGATGTTGATTTGGTCTCCCAAGTAGACGGTGCTACTGCTAAGGGTATGAACTGACCTATGGATTCTATTATTCCAGTAAATTTGGCATTTTCAATTATCCACCTAGTTAATAAATGAGCCACTTTCATCAGTGTCTCCTGTAGCTTTGATTATCACAAATCAGTTCCCAGAACCAGATTATCTTGCTGTGAATTGGCAACATTGGGTCTGTGAATTTTCAAGCTGAGGACCACAGTGTGGACGCAGACTGAAAAACTTCTTTCTTCTTCATTTTGCTCTTAACTGCAAAGTCCCTGCTTCCTAAGTCAGAATGTTCTTGTATTGATCTAATCCAGCATGTGTATCAGCCATATTCTGATGACTCTCAGATTTATATCACTGGATCTCTCCTCCCAACTTCACAACTCCTATAGCAAAGAAGGGCATCACAAGTAGTGGTTCCCCCAAAAATTAAAAATAGAATTACAACATGATCTGGCAATCCCACTTCGGGGAATAGGTCCAAAAGAATTGAAGGCAGCATCTCAGATATTTTTACATTCATATTCACAGCAGCATTATTCATAATAGCCAAAAGATGGAAGCAACTCAAATGCCCATCAATGGATGAGTGGGTAAAGTAAATGTTGTATATACATACAACAGGACATTTAAGGTTGAATACTTAAAAAAAAAAAAAAAAGGAAATTTTGATGCACATGGATGAACCTGAAAGGCATTTTGCTAAGCAAAATATGCCAGTCACAAAAAGACAAATATTGTATGATTTCACTTAGATAGGAGTATGAGGTATGAGTAATCAAACTCAGAAACAGAAGTAGAATGGTGGTTGCCTAGGGCTGGGGCAGAGAGGGAATGGGAGTTTTTGTATAATGGATAGAAGTTTTGGTTTTTCAGGATGAAAAATTTGCAAAGATCGGTTGTACAAAAATGTGAATATACTTAACACTACTGAACTGGACATTTAGAAATGGTTAAGACGGTATATTTTAGGTGTATTTTATGATTAAAAACAAATTTTAAAAAGAAAACACCTTTTGCTTAATTTGTCTTTTTCTCTTGGTGCTTGGAAATGAGCACTGATTTTGCTGTTTAGTAAATATTTGTGTTTCACCTCTTAATGTCAAAGGCTTTTACGTGAAAAGGTATCCGTGGAAGGGAGAGAAGTTATACAGCACACTTATGGGATTATTCTACTGGGGGGAAAGAGTATCTTTTTTTTAATGTTTATTTATTCCGAGAGAAAGAAAGAGAGTGTGTGCGTGCAAACAGGGGAGGAGTGAAGAGAGAGGAAGAGAGATCCCAAGCAGGCTCCATGTTGTCAGTGCAGACCCTAATGTAGGACTTGATCTCACGAACCGTGAGATCATGACCTGTGCTGAAATCAAAAGTCCCACATATTGGGAAATTAGCTCAAAGTCAGAATGACACGGGGGTTGTTAAAACTCTCACTGAAAACTTGAACACTGTAGTCCCTCTTTTTGAATGGACTATCAAGCTTCATCAGGCTTTTAAGATTACTCACCTAGGGGCGCCTGGGTGGCGCAGTCGGTTAAGCGTCCGACTTCAGCCAGGTCACGATCTCGCGGTCCGTGAGTTCGAGCCCCGCGTCGGGCTCTGGGCTGATGGCTCAGAGCCTGGAGCCTGTTTCCGATTCTGTGTCTCCCTCTCTCTCTGTTCCTCCCCCGTTCATGCTCTGCCTCTCTCTGTCCCAAAAATAAAATAAACGTTGAAAAAAAAATTAAAAAAAAAAAAAGATTACTCACCTAGTTTTTGTATTAAAAGAGTATTTTCATTCCAGTAAATACCTCAACAATCTAAAGACAGTCCAAATTCACCATGACAAGTAATTTAGTGTTGGATGTAAGTCTAGTCATGGTATAGGCAATGGGCTTTCCATGTAGATAAACCTACTTTGTGTCTAACTCTTCAAGCATTACTTGCTCATTTTATCTCTCCCATTTGTACTCTTCTGCCTAGAAATGAGTAAGATAGACATGTGCCCAGATCATTGACCTCTGCAAACAAAACTCTGGAGACTGAGGAAACCATATTAACCCAGTTCTTATTGGCTCCCTCTTCAAAAGGAGGTTTGATTGCCTTCCTGCACTGAAGTTTAAAGAACGTGCCAGTGAATATGTGCATGCTCTTGTGTGTTGATACAACTGAGTCTACTATTTGGCTGGGCAAAGAATCAATCAATACCATTTGTGTTGAGCCTCTAAAATGTGTGAAACATTTTTTAATTTCAAAATTATTGTATAGAAAGAACTGTAATATATGGCAAGAATTGTAAGAAAATGTAAACATGAATACACAAAAGCAGAACAAATAACAGACTACTTCCAAGTTTTGACCGGTTCTGGGGGCAGGAAAGGAGACCAGATATAAGAACCCAAGAGCATTTAAGATGGTGGTGGCCACTTTACAACTCTAGCCCTGGCACTGAGGAGGACACAAAAATGTATGATGTCCAGTATTCTTTTATGGAATTTAATCTAGTGGAAGATTTGACATGGCCATGCATTATTCAACTTTGTATCATTGGGGCCCTGGCAAAAACTGGCCATATAGGAAGGGCTCAAATGAAGGTATGTTAAATGAACAGATAAATGATTGAGTTCACAAATATGTGATAAGACCCAAACAGGTGTGGGGATGAGTGTTTTTGGAGCACAGCCATCATTCTTACAGTCAGATTTTGAGGTCTAAGGATGTGGACTTTATCCTGAAGATTTATTATTAGGTTATTTAGCAGGGAATGGCAATCTGACAATAGTATAAAGAATGAAGGGGCGGGGGAGGGAGGGCTGCTTTTGGAGGCAAAAATGTATTTTAAGAGCAAAAAGAAGGGTTAATTTTTTTTTTTTCTAAGAAGAATCCACTTTAGGGAAGATGATACACTTGGGTTAGGCATTTGAAGTCCAAGAGATGGTTTGAAATACACAGGCAAAGTCCAGCAGGCACGAGCTAGACTTCAGCGGAGAGATCCCTGCCGAATTGAAGTAGACGTTGGAGAGTTACACCTGCGAGGGAACACGGAAATCATCCTTACCAACCCCTTGAACTCCCTGGCTTCACTAGTAAGACAGATGAGACTCAGGGATGATACTGATGATGGCGATGATGATGATGATGATGGTGGTGGTGGTGGTGGTGGTGGTGCTGGCAGTGACGGTAATGGCAGCTAATGTTTCTTGAGCATTCCAGGCCTCGGGCTACGTTCTTTACATCCAGAACTGTATCTCACCGAATACTCCCAACAGCCCCAAGATGACAAGATAATTTAGTGACGCAAGCCTCTTCTTGCTGATCAGGGCTGATTTCACTCTCTTTAGAATCTATACGAGCGCACCTCGGGGAAATGAAGTAGCCAGTATTCAGGCCCGGGCACAGCTCAGAAACGTGGAGACTCCCTTTTAGGAAGCGCAGCCCCTTATCAGAGCAGGAATCCTGGGGGATGCGCGCCACAATGAGGGGCAGGCGACCAGGACCCTGGAAGCACAGTACCAGCCTCCGCGGCTCCGGGCCAGCCCGAGGTAACGGCAGCTGGCCCGCCAGGGGGCGCCTCTGTCGGTCCCGGGCGCGCCCGGGCGCGCCCGGCCGTGGGCAGGTGACGAGGCGCCCTGTCCCCCGCCCCGCCTCTCGGGGCCCCCGCCCGGCGCGCGCCCGGCGCTCGGGTGCTGGGCGAGAGATTAAACGGCGGGAGGGGTGGGGATGGGACGCGAGGGGTCACGTCAAAGCGGCGTAGACAAAGGGCGGGCGCGCGCACGTCTTTACGCACGCCTTGGCCGGCGGCGGCGGCCAAGGGCGGGAGGGATCGTTCACGGAGGGACTGGGAGACCCGGAGCCTCGCGGTCGGTGAGTATGACCGAATTATCCCCCGTCCTGAAGGTCACTGGCCCCAGGGGAGCCGACAACGGGCCGGGGGGTTCGGGGCGAGGAGCTCAGCGAGGGGCCTGAGGGCCGGGGACACCCTCCCTACGCCGCTCCGGCGTCAGGAGGCACCATTGCCGCTTCCTGGGGTTTCCCAGCCGGTCGGAACGTTCCGCCCCCTCGCCCGCAGTGGAACAGTCCGCGCCCCTCCCCGGGCGCTGGCCGCGCCGTCCTGCCGTCCCGCCACAGCGCCCCGGAGCCCGCGCCCAGCCCTCCCAGAGGCCGGTGCTGGGCTGGTCCCTCCACTCCCTGCTCCGGCAGGCTCCTCTCCGAATGGGCTCTTCGGAGTTCGCCCGCATCCCAGGTGCTCCGCAGTCCGCACCCCGAGCGTGGAGGAGTGGAGCCTGGGAGGGCTGAAGGGGGGTGGGGGGTAGTAGAGATCACGAGGAAGCGCCTTCACCTGTGATTTCTTTTCTTAGGTACTTTGGCTTCCCCGGGATTGATATTCTCCTCGCTTGGTCTCCAAAGGAACCCATTTTTCTTTCTTTAGAATTCCCTAACCCCCGAAATCCCTTGCCTTTCCGTTTTGATTTCATGTCCTGCAAGGCATCCTCCTACCAGAGGGTTTATTTCCTCACTTCCGTTTCACATAGGGTTTTAACTTTCGCTGTTTAAAAGTTTAGGGAAAATCTCCCGCATGAAACATATGGTATAGCTTTGTGGAAACAAGTTCATTACTGTACTAGATCTAAGTGCCTCTCACTGCTCGTGCCCTCCGTGCCATGGATCTTCTCAGTGATAACCTTCTTGAGAACAATTCCTTTCTGGTTCATTTTCCTTAATTTTGGCTGAACTTTGAGTGCCTCTCTTAGTTTCGTATCCTGTCGATTCTGTCTCAACCCAAGGGAAATGGTGTGAAGGCAGTTATCCTATGCCAGAGACTGTAGGAAAGAGTTCTGTAATAATGCCATTCTTCTCTCACTTTGATAGTGATTTTTTTTTTCCAACTTTGTATTATGGAGAATTTCAGACATACAAAAATAGCTGAATAATAAACCAGCATGTATTCATCATCCAGCCCCAACAGTTGATCTTTACGTTAAGTCTGTCCCATCCACATCCCTATCCATCCCCCCCCCGCAACTGGCAAGCTCTGGGATAAATCCTTGATGTCAAAAGTAGTTTGGGATTCAAAATAAAAATCTTACTGTTGTATAAAGTCATAATGTACTTTTTGGGGACATATTCTATTGGAAGTCCTTTGACTAAGAAATACATAAGCATTGGAGAGGGGCCAAAAAAGAGTATCTAAAATGATGAAGCTGCTGGAGGACAGGTTGAAACAAAAAGTCTTTCAGATCTGGATGAGAACTTCCAGATCATGTTGTCTAACTTCTTCATTTCTGATGCCACCCAAGAGTCCATAGAGGTTCAGTGACTTGTCCAGATCTACAGGAATAAGAGTCCTGAGTCTGGAAACCTCTCCCAACTCTACATTCAGTCTCCTTTTTCCTGTACCATAGTCCTTGCCTTTAAAAGTTGTATCTTTCAGGAGAGGAAAATGTGTAGAAGGGCTGTAACTGAAAACTCTTACAATGAAGGCTTTGGATGGGTTAATATGAACTTTTCCATCAAATTCCAGAATAATGAAGCTAGGGGATCTGTCTTAAAATATTTCTTAAACTAGGGGCGCCTGGGTGGCTGAGTTAGTTGAGCGGCTGACTCTTGATTTCAGCTCAGGTTGTGATCTCATGGTTTGTGTGTTCTAGCCCCACATTGGACTCCGTGCTGACAGCATGGAGCCTGCTTGGGAGTCTTCTCTCTCTCTCCTTCTCTCTGTCTGTCTCTCTCCAAATAAATAAATAAATAAATAAATATACGTAAATACTTCTTTAGATATGGGACAGATGAGAAATTCTAATCACAGCTTTTAGGAAGCATGGGAAAATTCTGACCTTAGAAGGGGAATACCAGACTGAGAGTAGAAACAAGCTTAAAAAAGATGTAGACAACATTCACAGCTATTTAAGAAAAGGGTAACTAAGGGGAACTGGGATGATTCGGTATTCGATCCTGAAATTTTGCTCTTGATGACAAAGAGAAGATAGCACCCTTCCTGGAAGCATCCTTTCTTGCTATTAACAGATAAGAATCCTAGGCTGGATCTAACATGGATTAGGCACTTTTTTTGGTTTTTGTTTTTGTTTTTTAAATAAAACAATGGTATGCATTTCTTAGCACACTCTGTGCTGTTAAGTTTTCTTATCTTCAGAAAGACCGGTAAACTCTACTTGTACCCCAATCTCCACCCTTAAAGTTGGAGGGGATATTGTACCTCCAAAGAATGTTGTGAATAAAGGAATCTTTGTATTTAGAGGTCATATAGAGTTTGCTTATAAATTTAGGTTCTGTAATGTGACATAGTTATTTATAAATTATTTTCAGGATGGACTTTTGTTAGTTTGTGACCTAAATGCAGTGGTTGTCATGCTCATCCAGCTTTTGGAAATAACCAGTTAAATAGCAGTATCTGGGTGTGTTGGTAAATCATTACCCATAAAGACATGGGTGTGGGGAGAAATCTTATGTTTTGTGTGGGGTTTTTTGTGTTTGTGGCTTCAGAAAGTGCAGTGGTTAGTTAGGATTCTAGCCTGGTAAAAATGGTTTTTGCTGAAGAAAAAAACATTTATCTATGTGTACATCACAAAATGTTACATCTTATTATAGATTTCTTGCTTTCTGGAGATAGAAGCTAGAGATGATTTGACCCTGGTTGAAATATATTGTAAAATTGTTTCTTCAAGTAAAGTAGAACCTGATTATAGCCTGTCATTTACTTCTTTCTGTATCATTATGCTCAAGGGAGGACTTGACCAAATATCATCAATTACATGTTATCACTAAACTACAAAATACTTACTATAGCATGAAGAATGCTTTTTAAAAGCACAGAAGTTTAGAGTTGGTAGGAATGTTACGAAGATTGGAGTTTTTCCTAACTCTTTAAAGGTGCTGTCTCTCCTTTAAAACACAGGCACACATATACACCTGTCACCCAGTCACAGGGTTTTGTCTCCTTTCACTGGGCACTCTTTTAATTTGCCTTCTGGAGTAGTTGTTAGTGTATTTGGATTGTACTTCCTTTTAGACTGTAAGCCTAAGATCTGCAGTATTAGAATAATGCTTTGTAAGAAGGAGCCTAATAAATTTCTGTTGACGTTTTGAATTAAAATACCAAAAAACTGGTGAGGAAATTTAAATCCACGGAAGCTGAATGAGTTACAGACCAGATAGTAACAGCTGTGCCTGAACCCTTAGCCAGAAAGACTCCTGAGTTCCAATTCTAAGCTCCTCCACTCTACCATTTTCTTCACACCACAAAACAATGGGGAAGGAAAAAATATTATATGTATATATATTTTTTTCTTTACCAGTTAGACATATTTTATTTTCAGGGTCTGCTTAAAAGTTTTTGATCAGTGCTATCCAGTAAAGTACACACCACATGCATTATTTTTTAAATGTTTTTTGTGTTTATTTTTGAGGGAGAGCATGAGCAGGGGAGGGGCAGGGAGAGGGAGACAGAATCCAAAACAGGCTCCAGGCTCTAGCTGTCAGCACAGAGCCCAGTGCGGGGCTCAGACCCACGAACTGTGAGATCATGACCTGAGCCAAAGTTGGATGCTTTACCGACTGAGCCACCCAGGCGCCCCCATAATTTTAAATTTTGTAGTAGCCACTTTAAAAAAAAGGACAAAGAAACACATGAAAATCATTATAATCATATATTTTATTTAACCAAAATGATCCAGAATATCATTTCAATGTATAATCAATATACAGATTACTAATGAGGTCTTTTACATTCATTTTTTTCATAGTCATTTAAATCTAGTGTGTACTTTACAGCACATTTCAGTTTGGACTACCCACATTTCAAGAGCTCAAGAGTTCTGTGTGGTTAGTGGCTGCTGTGTGGGACAGTGCAGATCACTGTCAGCTGAACATAAAGAGAAAGCATTTTAGGTTCTTAGTAATACTCTGTTCTGAGGTTAAAATAGAGTTTGTGGTTGTGATCATTCGTTTTTTTGTTTCATGTTTTAGTGTAGTTAGGATTGTTTCAAATGTGTGGCACATTGAACAAAGAAGTCTGCCAGTCCACAAATTTTGTACCTTTGTGATGAAACGCTTTCTCTCTTTTTATTTATTTTTTATTTTTTTTATTTATTTTTTGTCTGTGGGATCAAACTTCTCTCTCTTTTTTTAAAACCATCTTCACAATGTTTAAGTGTGTAGTCCGGTAATAATGCTTTCTAATTTCAAATAACACTGTTTAGTTTTTGGGGGTGAGGGGTGGGGAAAGCTTGGTTTTTTAAAAAAATAGCCCATAGCAAAACTTAGTAATAAAATAACCTAATAAAAAATAGGCAAAAGATTCAACACTTCACCAAGGCAGATGGATGGTAAATAAGCACAAAAGATGTTCAGTGTCATTGGTCCTTAGGGCAAATTAAAGTTATGAGTTACCACCTCACATCCATTAGTATGTCTAAAATTAAAAAGACTCATCTTGTCAAGTGTGGGTAAGGTTGTGGAGCAAATGGAACTTTCATACATGGCTGGTGAGAGTGCAAAATGGTACAGCCAGCTTAGAAAGCAGTTTGGCAGCTAAATACACACCTACTTGAGACTCGGTCATTCGACTCCTAGGTTATTTACCAAGAGAAATTACAATGTCTATCCATACAAAGACTTGTAGATAGCAGCTTTATTTGTGACAGTCCCAAAGGGGAACAACCGAGTTGCCTGTCAGTAGGTGAATGGATAAACAAATGTGGTATAGCCATACATTGGACTGTAGCTCAGCAGTAAAAAGGAATGTTGCTGCACACATGTTGATGTGTGCAGCAACATGAGTGATTCCTCAGAATAATTATGCCTAGTGAAATAAACCAGACAAAAAGATTTAAAAAACAAAAGGCAAG